TGCATTTTCTGGTATTTTCCGGCTGAATGGAAAACAACACGGAGCTTTTCAGAAGTCTGCCATGGTGCTTCATGGGAAAATCATGCTGCCGCTATTTTCTGAAATTTTTTTGGCAAGCATAACGCGTGAAAAAGATGGTCCCAATTTTCCGCAGAAATTTTTGGGCGAGAGAAAGCAATTGCAGTTTTGTGCCAAATTTTTCGGCTCTTCAAGTTGAAGAGAGAGAGTTTTTTGGGTGAGAGAAAGCAATTGCAGTTTTGTGCCAAATTTTTCGGCTCTTCAAGTTGAAAGAGAGAGTTTTGCTTTGACGAAGTGTGTAAGTGATTAATCTGATAAAAAGACACTTGACGTTGGATTGTAATTTAGTGTCATATTAGTTAGAATTATTTTTTTTGTCATATTATTGCCATTATCTATAGTTCAAGATATTTAATTATTTAATTTTGCTTATATTTTTTTTGGAAAATTCACGATGACATTTTTTAAAAATTTTCCTAAAATCACACAATTGAGTGACTAAATAATCCAATTATAATAACTAAAAAATCATCTAAACTCTTGCCTAAATATATTACTAAATATAGTAAATTTTTTGAAAAATTTTGCAATATGCAATGTGTCCGTAATTTTCTAACTACTTAACTAAAAACATGATAAAACAATAAATATCTTTTTATTTGAAATATATACGGTAAAGTATGATCTAATTAATGTTTTTTTATGTTGTAATACATATTCACGCATATTGGAGTATTGTTTTTTACGTAATACATATTATTCACGCACATAGTTACTAATCTTTTCGAATTAGACTCTAATATATAAAAGTGGATATAACTTTAAACAAGTTTTTATATAAAAAAATAACTAAAAATTATCTAAAATCCCGCCTAATATATTACTAAACATTAATAATTATATAAAATCCCGCCTAAATATATTACTAAATATAATAAATTATTTTGAAAAATTTCGCAATATGCCTCGGTGAATCGTTTGAATTTTTCGATAATTTGTTAAATTTAGTCAAGCATTTGAAACATATATGGAATATTTTTTCACCAACAACTTATTTTATATCTACTATATACATAAAATAAAAATAGCGTATGGTCTAATTAATGTTTTTTTTATGTTGTAGTAGTTTACGGTCTAATTAATGTTTCTACGTCATTTTTTACGTTGTAATACATATTATTCACGCATATAATTACTAATGTTTTCGCATTAGGCTCTAATATATAAGAGTGGATATAACTTTAAACATGTTTTTATAGAAAAAAAAATTAATTTTAAATTTTTAAAAAATAATATTTTAGACACTTTTACATACGTTAAATAATAGTCTAGGTATTCTTAATGTTTGTTGGGTTGCAACATTTTAGATTTAAACATATCTTGATATATGTTTTTACCCATTCTCTATATTGAGGTGTATCTATACATAAATAGGTTAATTTTTTTAGGTGACTTCACACATATTTCTAGAATAATATATAATATATTAGATATTTTTTACATATGAACGATTTTTAGGTACTTTTAATATCTATATCTATACATATAAAAAGAGAATAAGATTTAAAAATATATTAGATACATATTAAATTTTATATAGAAAATCACATTTTATTTTTTATATAATTTTTTCGATTGGCATTAATCTTGATTTGTAATTGTAAAATTGATAAATTAACCATATGATAAAAAGCATACCAAATTCTTTTTACCATAAAGACTTCAAAAATTAATTTTTGAAATCTTTTGTACTCGCAGGTTAGGTCATAATTCATCCTAATGGTCGATATCATGTTAATATTTATTTTAGATATCTATTAATATATAAAGAGACAATAATATTTACCTGAAATAGTAACAAAAAATAATAAAAAATCATTTGGTTTACCACTTAAAATTTCATAAATACTAAACTAAGTAACTTTTTTTAAAAAAAAATTGAAAAATCCCGCCTCTATGTTTGAAAATTTCGGGTATTCTAAATAAATTACAGATTCTGTGCAATCTGTTTGATTTTTTCGGGTATTCCAAAAAAATTGCAAATTTTGTTGATGTATATCTAATTGCATATGTAAAAAGACGAAATAGATTTTGTTTGACATTGATAATTCATATGTTTCCTTGCAATAATTACACGATCTTTAATTGTCATAAAATCATTGATAAATTAGAGACATTATTTGAAAAAGTGAACTTCATTTTGAATATAAAAATCAACATCGGTTTTTTTTTTTCATTGTAAATTTTGATTTATATTCACAAGTTATAATTTGTTTACTAAACGTGGCATTCCAATTTATTTAGAAAAAAAAAATATAAATCATAACATGATACAATTTCAATCACACGAACCACCGTTTACCAAAATTCCGTAAAAAAGAGATGAATTCAAATGTCATAATTTGTTTGACAAACGTTACCTTCCAATTTAAATAAAAGAATGTATAACATACAACATTATACGATTTCTATTATATATTTATCAACAGTACTCATATCACATACCATATCACAACATGTTATATATTGAAAGGAAATTTAGTTTAACATTCATAGATTTATGGACTTATTTAATTAATAATTGTTTACTTTAATTTGTACATTAGATGAAATTCAAGTAACAACTTCCAAGGATGTCACATTGTTGATGAGCGTTGACACTGTTCCGGAAATTTAAGACTTTCTTATGAGGTAAAATTCAAAATTAATCGTCTATACGGAAGTGTTTGATAAAATTAAAAATCCAAGACTTACAAAAACGGTTTGAAAATTTTAATTTGTGGAGAAGAAGGTTTGGCAGAAAATTAAACCAAGAATGTTGTGTATAGAGAAGTGTTTAATAATATATGATTTTTTTTTGTACTTTGTATTTCTCTCTTTTTTTTTTCTATTACAATCAAATTATTAATTTATAAACAAAAATATTAAATAAAGTTTAGAAAAAAAGTTTTGAGGAAATAACCCCACCGTACTGCGCACCGGTACTACACTATATTTCCCAAAATGAATATAGTCCGTGCATCGCACGCACGGGTTACGTACTAGTATATAATTATTTCTTATAAGGAATTTAAATTAAATAGGGTTCTTATCAATTGGCATATTAAATAAATCTGAAAATATTAATCGAATTATTGTGTTTCAATATATTAATGAATCAAATTTTTTAAAATCGTTGTTGTAAAGTTGAACTGATATTCCAAATTTGAGAAAAAATGGTTGTCTATTTATATTTTTTTGTATTATTCGAATAATCACATCCACTAAAGTAGGTAATTGACTCTTTCTTGCAGGTATGAAATATGAGGACTCTATTTGGAAAGTTCATCATCACAAAGTAGAAGACTGTATTTAACACGTGTTTAGAATGGCGTATCTGTATTTAAATTTATGAATGTGATTTTTATTACCAAACAACTTGTGATATCAATCGATCCATTAGGATTAGATTAAAAAACGTGTTAATCAATTAACAAATAATAAAAATCATTCAGAATGTGGCATGGGCGGATTGCATAGGATCTTGCGAAATCTTATAAGCTTAACAAAAATATCCAATTGTTTCAAACAATTGAATGGCGGGTTGCATGGGATATAGCATTCAAAATTTTTTTACGAAATATATAAGCGGGAAACTAACTATAATTAAGCGGGAAAACGAAATATTTTTTTCGAATTGTTTGAATAGTTTTTCTTAACTGTATTATATAGTAATAGATTTATAAGAGACAATAAATTTATGGTAATGAAAGATAGATTTATAATGTAAAATGAAATAATTATTTATGCTTGATTTCAAGCCAATTATGTTTTTAAATTTTTTATTCGACAAAGCAAGATATTTTGACACGTATGTCATTTAAGCTCAACACGTTTGGAATTAATATACTAGTACAATACCCATGTATTACACAAGTGTTGAATTAGAAAGCTTTTGTAAAAAATATTAAGTTTTTTATTTTTTTAAAAACTAAAATAATTTAATTTTATATAAAACATTACTTTGGGTTTTAATTAAATCGTCAAATTATATTTTTTTAATCATAATAATTAAACACCCGTACATTAAATGAAAATGTCAACCCGTGTTGAATTTTTTTACTTATATCATATAAAAATATCGATATTATTTACTATTACATAAGTACAAAAATAAATATCTTAAATAAATAGAAATAATATGGTGATATGTATATGCATAAGTGTAGAATATGTTTATTTAATATTAAGCAAAATAGATTAATTTTTTTTACTTAATTAGATGCCTAATACATCAAGTGCCGTATCAGTCGTGCTTCACAGTTTTTTAACTTTATATGTAATTTTAGAATTTAGATAAATAATTATTTATTTTTATTAGATTGACAACATACCAATTAGATTTGAAATAAATATTATTTTTAAAAGAATACATACCAATTTCTATTACTTTATAATATAATTTATAGTTTTATTTGATATAATTCAGTTTAGTTTGATAAATAAATTTAAATTTTATTTATAAGGATATATATTACTGTTTTGTATTTTATATATATATATATATATATAATATGAATGTCAAATCGAAAATCGTTAAAAGATAGTTAATTTGATATATCATATATGAAAAATAAAATACAAACCAAAAAGTTATAAAATCTTAAAATAAGAAGAAGAAACACTTATAAAAACTAACGAATGAATTATAAAAGAAAATAAAAAGTGATGTTAATGTAGGGAAATGCAACATAAAATAGTTTATGGTAACTAATTGTAGGTTAATGTAGGAAAATGAAACATAAAATAGTTTATGATAACTAATTGTAGAAGTAAAGAAGGAAAAAATTAATCATGAATTTAGTTTGATAAAAAATATTAATTTATATATAAGTCTAACTCCACAGCATGATTTTTTGTCAAATAAGATTATGAAGTAGGGATATGAGATGGAATTATATAGAGAGGAGATATGAGATGCCTTATAATCGGATACACATAATATAATCTGTCGCCCGCGTACCCCTCAACCTCAACGTATTAATAGCGGCGGCAGAAGGAGCAGAGTATAATTTTTCACTCATTCCAGCTCCTCCTTATCAAGGTCACGATCGTCACCAGCACCATTAATGACCTCAATCTGAATTCGCTCTCGACAATTTTGAGATAATTGGCAATGGGAGCAAGTCGGAAGCTACAGGGAGAGATCGATCGGGTTCTCAAGAAGGTTCAAGAGGGTGTCGATGTATTTGATAGCATTTGGAACAAGGTCTCTTCTCTCGTTAACCGCTCTAGAGTGCATTCTCGATTACCTTTCTCTTGCTTGGAGCTGTATAATTGATTTTGTAACTACTTCAGGTCTATGATACGGACAATGTGAACCAGAAGGAAAAGTTCGAAGCCGACTTGAAGAAAGAGATAAAGAAGTTGCAGAGGTACAGAGACCAGATCAAGACATGGATACAATCCAGTGAGATCAAGGATAAGAAGGTATGTTTCCACCGCTGAAACTTTTCTCTTTAATTCATTGTCCCTACCCTTTCGACAATACCCATGCTCCATATTGGTTTCTCATTTTTCTTTTTTAGTTGGGTATTTCATCTTTTATTATATTTCTT